CCCCAAAACCCCAAAACCCCAAAACCCCAAAACCCCTGTTTATAAATATAACATTGAGGGTAAATAATGAAAACTTAATAACTAGTTAAAGCACCTTTTTATTGCCGCTGTTCAATTTTCTAAGTTTAGGCTGATTCATTGCCTTATCGATTAAGACAGACTTTTTGGTACCTGAACTAGGTACCATTGTCTTTATCATAGTTGAAGAGACGTCTAAAATATAAGGAATTGAAACATACTTCATTTCATCCTACTTCTCAAGTTGACGTTCTTCTTTAGGAGATTTGAAGTTTTAAAAGTTTTAGTACTAGGAATTCCAGTGATGTTATTCTTAGCACACTTTTTCATCTTGGATGTGCTGATAGAAGTGATCACTCCAGATGAACCCATTGACTTCTTTTTCTTAAGCAAAGGCTCCCTTTTTACAATGCTATAAGTTAGTGAGTTTGGATATACCTTTTAATTTTATTTTCAATCGAATTTTTTCCGAAAATTTTCTTTGGAAGAACAGTTGTATTACTCGCTGGAATCTTTCAAATATTGCTATTTTCTTGATCGGCTCTCTTTGTTAGAATTTTCTTTGCAGCACTTTTTCTGATAACCTATTTGAAAGTTATAGTCAAATAGCAAAAATAGCCACCTTACCCAGTCGAAACTTTCTGGATTATTTCGATATTTATTTTGTTTCATGACTTCTCTGAAAAGTCTTCTTAAGAATGAATAATCTGGTTTTTCTTCAAATGCCAAACCTTGTCAGTAAGTAATATACTTTATAAATTGTTCTGGAGCTCCTTCTCATAACTCTTCTACACTAATTGCAAGCTTCTTGTCCTTGATTAGGTCATATTTCTCCTTCTTAGTTTTGGCTTTGATGCCAGCCCAAGGAAGCGTTCCCTTTAAGAAGTAAATAAGGCAATACCCTATTGAACACATATCGTCTCTTCTACTTTGCTCATAGCCCATGTGAGAATTGATGGAAGCATACCTGGCTGTTCCAATTAGGCTTCTCTCGGTGGTCATTTCAACATGCTCCCCAGTCTTAATATTTCTGTACATTTTCCCAAGACCAAAATCAATCAAGTGCAGAGTATGTCTTTTATCAATACCAAATAAGAAGTTTTCTGGTTTGATATCTCTGTGAATGAAACTTCTTGAATGAAGGTATTCTATTCTGTGTAGCATTTGCTCTGCTAGCATGCATACAGTTCTGAGTGAGAATTTGTATTTACAATATTCAAACAGATCCTCTAAGTCTTTCCCAAGAAGGTCTAGGACCATTCAATTATTATCCCCGCTTTGGCCATACCAATGAATATTAGGTACTCCAGTACCCCCAGAAAGAACTTTATATAACTTAACTTCATACAGAAGTTGAGGAATTTTTGTCTTAGTACTTTCCAGCTTTACAGCGTATTCCAAGTTAGTCTCAACATCTCTGACAAGATGTATTTCTCCAAATGATCCACTCCCAAGTTTTTTGATAATTCTGTATTTCCCTCCAATTAAGTCTTCCATGCTATTCCGTTAGATAATTTATTTGCAATATTTATAACTAATTTGGGGTTTTGGGGTTTTGGGGTTTTGGGGTTTTGGGG